ACAGGGTTACGTTTTACGGACACCTGACTATTACTTACTATCATGCAGTCACGTGACTTTTGGGGGTTTACTGAGTGACAAACAAGCTAAGCGGTTGACTGAGGGGCAACTAGCGGATGTTAAGTTAAAACATGTCAAAAAAAGCCCTCAAACTATTGTATTTGACTATTGTATCACGACATGAAACTAGAAAACAAGAGATCAAAACAACCTCCAGGATTCTACAAGCCATCAAAAAAGAGCTATTACCGGAAGTGACGTCTATTGATAGCTTTCTATTGCTGGTTTATAATCATTAAAAGACAAGTTTTTTTTTTTTTGATATAACAAAACAAATCATAAACAATTCTTTTTTATTAAATTCCACCAAGATAGCGGCTATTGACGTCATTTGTAAATGAAAACAATGTGGACGCTTTCTCTTGCCCTACTCGGGTGTCCTTGTTAATGGGTTGTGAAAGTAAACATACATATATGAACATTGTCAGGAATTAAGGTATCATTATTATAGATGAACTGCTTCAACAACCTTAAATGTTATTTACATTTCCTCTAGCAAGTTAAAAACTAATTTTAATCCATTAGTTCTCCTACCCGGCCCTTTGGCACAGACACTCCATTTGTGAATCTCGCAGAACTAAATGGACAAAAAAAGTCTAGTGATACAGGTGCAATACAGAGGTAAATACTCCCATGCTTTAGAAAGCAAAAACACGCCCCTTACATTAGGGTCATTTAGATATTAGTTCTTAGAAGTAAAAGCAAAGTGTGACGGCGCGCGTTCCGTGAGAGAGATTTTTATTCATTAGAGATCTTTAGCACGACGTTCTTGCTAGCCTAACTGCAGCAGTTCGACATCAGGCGTTTTCTGTCGAAATTCGACATTTAGCGAGGTATAATAACAAAGTGCCTTGTTGGGAGAGCCGTCATATTGAATTTCTCTTATGCTGAGTGTTTGTCGGTGTTTGCGTGCGTGTTTTGTGCCTGACTTCTAGCAGTTAGCGGTAAACCTGATACTAAAGGTTTCTTATTATTAGTTGGAGCATAATGTCATCCGGTCTTATATATACACCAACAATATTAACAATGATAATAATAATAATGACAATAATAAAAAAAAGTATATACAATAATTCAAAATAATAACAGTAATATTACTATGATATTGTTAATGTGATTATTGATAATTATCAATAACATTAATAAGACGAATAATCATTAGCAAAGATCTGTAAAAGGTAATTCCTTTGAAGACGAGCTTCTATCGCGATCGCTCGGGATTAATTCAGATAAATTCATCGAATATAACTTGTGGATTCCTTCAACTAATATTTAAAATCTAAATAAAGCAAAATACGAAAATTATAAACATCACTATCTTTTAAAATCATGTTCATATGCATACCTTCAAAAATCATATGCCTTCAAAAATCTGATTTTCCTTCGAGTCATGTACTTCGAGGCCAAAAGACTGTATGCTGTTTGTCTAAGCTCTTTCTAAGCAACAGTATAATGACTTATAGTGAAAGAGCATTAAAATAGCCCGGTGTTCACTTTGGTCTACGATATCAACCAATGACAAGACAGAGAAAAAATAACAGAAATAACTCTTAATTGCAAGCGATTAAAAGGTACAAAAACTTTTATAACCCTTGTGGATGGACTGATATGCTAGACATCAACTAATCCTTTAAATCCAGCAGTTTATGAGACGTGGTCGTATGGAGTAATTATTTAAGGTGAAGAAATAGCATTTATGGTACTTAGTGTTCGGGGCATTTTCTATTAGATCCAATCAGAGCTAATGTAATTCCCTTGAGAGTAAAGCAAATTGGTAAACGAGACCTATGCGGTTAAACGAACAAAGATTTGCTTTTCTAAACCGAATGATCAGATTCTTATTTAATTTTGTCAGTTTTTAAGAAGCGTCTGTCAGGAAAAGGGATCCTGAGTAGAGTTTATCAATCACGTTCCCTCAAGTCTAGCATATTCTTACTTAACGATCTTATAGTTCAAGGTTAGACCTAGAGTTAACCTTAAAGAGGTAGGTTAATAAAAGTCGTCGGCTTGATCGGTTGAAGAACCAGCATGCTTTGTAATCGTTTGATGCAACTACGCAATGATGACGAAGACAATGAAGACAACAGTTGTTTTCTTAATGACGATACACTGTATTAAATGATCTTTACTCGAGATTATTTGAAAGCAGAAAGACATTGGCACTTCCTATCTTTAATTCTCTCTTCTTTTTTCATCTTTCTTTCTTTCTTTCTTTCTTTCTTTCTTCCTTTCTTCCTTTCTTCCTTTCNTTTCTTTCTTTCTTCCTTTCTTCCTTTCTTCCTTTCTTCCTTTCTTCCTTCCTTGATCCTTTCTTTTTTGATTCTTTGGTACTCACTCCAGTCCTATCAAATCAACCTACGCCTTTGCGCCTGAATACTTATGATATCTACCTCGAATATATCGAGTAATCAGGAGATCAATAAAGTCACCATGACCAAAGGATAATTTTTATCACCTCTCTCTCTCTCTCTCTCTCTCTCTCTCTCTCTCTCTCTCTCTCTCTTGGTAGTTTCGATGCTTACAAAGCAGTTTTCTCATGAAAATATAAAATAAAATAAAAAACAACACACATTTTTATGACGAAAATTTAAAATTAAAATGCTCCGTATGACGTCATAATATGACTCGACCCGATACTTTACTCGGCCGACTTCTCTTCTCTTCGTAGAGCTAGTTTTTTTTTTTTTGAAATGGCAACGCACGTATGAAAATTATCGATGCTAACAAAGAGGTTTTCATAAGAATAAGCCATTTTGGTCAAACATTTGAAATTAAAAAAATGCTTCATATGATATCATAATAGTACTCGACCCATGCTCTTACTTTACTCCGCCAACTTCTTCTTTCCATAAAGTGCTAGTTCTGTGAACTGTCGAAGCAGGTTTGATAAGTATAAATTCGTATTAAGATGTTTTCATAAAAATAACGAATACGCACCCACATAATCTTTTCACTCGCTTCCGTGATGTAATAACAGTACTCGACCCATGCTCTTGCTTGACTCGGCCAAAAATGAACTAGCATCATTGTATTGAAACATTAAACTATAAGCAAGAATTGCGTATTAAACATGTAAAAGTATGAAAAACGCTTCGGCTCATTTGCATTGACTCTCTGATACAACCATACGCATACGTTTTCTCTAGTGCTTTGCCGGCTCACAAACTCGTATTGAATGTTTTTCTTGAAACCTAATGTGGAATCAAAACAATTAATAATCAGTTCTTTTTTTCCGATTTGAAATATCAAAACATGCGTAAAAGTAAATGTTTTATATTTATAAAATTCATCTTATTTATACCTTGATCAGAAAGTCTCAATGCAGCTGTCCCAAGTCCCTTTAGCGAAAACGCCTTCTGGGCAAGCGGGTGGCTAGACGATTAATTGTTTTTTGTGTTGAATTCCCTCTTTTATTATCAAACATCTAAATAACTTCAAGTTTTCGTTTTTCAGGCTCCTAGACGCTCTCTAATGCACTGGTGAATAACAATCACTGCAAATTGAAAACGGAAACCAACAAAAGCTTATAAGTGAGTAATTCTTAGTAAGAAGTAAATAATGTGGAATACAAAACAAGTAATCAATATTGTTCTGAACAATTCGAAATATTAAAATATGAATAACTGTCTGTAAGAAAATACATTCGAAAACATAAAAGAAACACAATGAAATTGTTACCATAAAATTGGTGAGAAATCAGTTGGGGAAAATCGTAAACCAACATGGCGGCTATGACGTAACGTGCATTGCAAGAAAGGTCGTACTCTTGAAAACACTTACTCAGGCTTTTTAGGTCTTTGTGCGCATTTTATTTGCGCTAAAAACGTTTAAATCATGAAAGATTTTACCCGACTACGTCTAAGTGACCGGCTCGTTGATTTCCGTGTCAAGGGTGGACTTAATCCAATTCTGTAAATATATATATGAACACATCAACGGTCCAACCTTGCATGACTTGGAACGCGAATTTGACATTCTTATAGGAAAAAAACCCCAGTAAATATAAAGCAAACCTTTGCGATTGATAATCATCAAAAGCAATTGCAAATCACAGATTTGATCACGAATTAACTCTAAAGATAGCATAATACAATCTTCCGCTCCAGTAGGAAAGTAATATTACATCGTGTCCGGCGGAAACATTAGGAAGTTCTTTTCAGAACGTCTTTCATATCTTTCTTGTCTTTTCTGTTTTTACCAGAACTAATATTATTCTTTTTATTACAAATTGAAATAATAACCATTGCAAAAAAGTTGGAAATCATTGGTAAACTTCCATTTAACTTACTTTTACTGAAGAATAGCTGTTGTTGTTGTTGTTGTTTTTTTCCAATTTTTCTTGTCGGCAAAGGAGCCAGCTATAGGATTCAAGTACAATTTGATGTTCAAAGCATTTTATGGAAGAGCTTTGATTTAAAAGATGTTAAATCCATGGCGGCATTTTTCATATTTCGTTCAAGTTTCTTTAGTTTGAAGAGTACACGTCATGTATTAATTCAAAGCTATACTAATGTATGATCAAGTACGGAGAATGAACTACTTTATTGGTTCTAAATCTTTATCATACATGAACATATTAACTTTTAAAGCACCTGAAATGATTTTGAACTAAAAGAAATGTTATGGTGTTTATATAATGATATGATTTACAAAAAAGAGTATACACCTACTTGCAAGAACGTTGTCATACGAAAATAGAACATTAGTGATTTAGTGGGATAGGAATTATATTAAAAAAACAAAAGAAGATCACTGAAGCTGAACTTTTTCTTTTGTCTTTTAATGTATTCCTTTCTCACTAAATTACTAATGTTCTATTCTTGTATGACAACGTTCTTGCAAGTAGGTGTGTATATATACATATATATATATTTATATACTCCTTTTTGTAAATCATATATATTGAACAGAAGAACCAAACATATCGACAATACACTTACCTTATTTACTGCCTTGTTTGGTGGACTTCTTGCAGGTTATTTAATTTCCTTTCGTGACTAAATCTCCAGTTCTTACTTAAATGCTCCTTAAAGTGTTTGACGATTATAAATTAAACTTAGCTCTTTAAGAATATTACTTGTCGTTATTTTCAATGCTTAATTTATTTATCAAACAATCAATCAAAATAGACTCAGCAAGTTACGTTCGCCCGTATGCTTTTAATCTTGCAAACAAAACAATGCTTGCTAACCGGGGCCATTAAGATTTTTAAAGATATATAATACAAGGGACTTTAGGTGCTTGAAATCAAGGCTACCTAAGTTAACTCACAAATGAATGTTTGCTTACTTGAATGATTATTTGATTGATGTTGAAACTACGCGACAATACGTGACAGGAATAACGAATTAGCTTTAATGCCAAGTGATTGAACTTGGTAATAATAGATCTCGCTACGTGTAACCAGGGGCTTTAATAGCGATACAATAAAATAAACACTAACGCAGTGCTTATAATCGATTTAGAAAACATATTATGTACGATAAAAAAAGACGTCAATTGTGACGTGCGCAGTTGAGTGTCTCATTATAGACTTTTGGCGGTAAGATTATCTGTAAGGAAGGCACGGGTTACCCCTTATTTGTGCCCACTTAATCATAATGAGTAAATATAACGAATTAGCGGCTTGCTTTAGGTACTTATATCTTCCAGGATGTAGAGTCTTCAATCACGCACAGAACACTGAACAAAAAACAATGCACAATGTACGTTAAAACAACAGAGAGTTGAATTTCGTCTAGGGCAGACGAGAAATGTTAGTTTGCCAGAAAGAAAAAAAAAAAAAAAAAAAAAAAAAAAAAAACAACAACAACAAAAAACAACAACAA